GTGTGTGTGTGTGTGTGTGTGTGTGTGTGTGTGTGTGTGTGTTGGGGAGTATGAGGTTGGGATTGATGCTAACCAATAAAGTTTCTACTTAGATACAAAACTAATGTGTTTTTCATAGCCATGGGGTAAGTATGTGGAGGAAGCCATTTTGAGATCAGGTTACAGACCTCCCTATAGCTCCCTATAAATACTTGACTGTCATCAACAAATAGCAGTGCATTTTTGCCTTGTGTGTTATGTTGCCATCCAAGAGGTAGAGACCAAGAGATGGAATCTGACAGGCCCACATCTCATGCAGAAAAATCTTGACTCTATCATTCACCATGGTTGGGCGCTTGAACACAGGTTAAAGACAGAGTTCAGTAGGAATTAAAGGAGACTGGGGGATTTACCTAGCTTGGATTTAACAGAAGAAATCTACAGTGTAAGCCTCACAGTGAGTGGTAGTACTGGGATTAGAAGTTACCCAGCTGAAAAAAAAAACAAAAAGTAAGTAACCCATTAGGAGCTGGGAGCAACTGTGAACTGTTTGCTATAATAACTAATTTCACAGAGAATGATAGTGAAAATGAAACAAATATTTCTATAGTTTGAAGCGTAAATTTCCTACAAAAGAAAAACGTTTATTCAATAGTTTTTCGTTGGCCATTTCTTGCAGTAAAAGCCTTAAAATGTGAAGCCTTGATGTGTTATTTTGTCAGCTCTTAACTGGAGGTTTGAATTTCTCTTTAGAAATTATCGAATCTCTACAGGGATCCAAATAGAGTTAAAACCACTGCAGCAGGGAAAAGAAAGGGCAATATTTCACTTTTGAAAGATTTTAGTTTTTCTTCATTGTTTGTGTGTTTGGATGAACTTTCTTTAAAGTCTTTAACTGGGTGTTGAAGCTCCCTGTTATCGGAAGTCAGTACTCAGTGACATTTCGCTGCAGGAGTACTTGCCAGCTTCAGATTTCTAATTAACAGCTGAAGCACCACTTCCAAAACCCAGGAATCAGGGGAATGAAGCAACTCTGACATTTCAGGCATGGTGCAAAATGGCTTTCTCAGAAAATGGCTCATAAAGCTCCCCCTTCCCCTGTGCTGAACAACAATCCTGGGCATTGCCTGGAATTGTAGAATTGTACAGTAAAGGCCCCATTTGGCCCATCAAGTCTGTACTGCCCTGGTCTCGAACAGCAAATTTAAAATGTTACTCCCACTCAGGGGGCCTGAGTTTCGAATATGAAGGGGTTCCAGCACTCCCATCCCCTCTCTCACCTTCAAGATTGCCATGAGCAATAATGATTTTTCCCATTGTTTTCAGTCAATTCCATTTCTTCACGGAGTCATTATGGGCACACAGGGAGGCCATTCATCCCATCAAGCCCCTGCTGACTCTCAGTAGAGCAATCTAGTCAGTCTAATCTCCCTGTGGCTGTGAGATTATATTTCCCTCAAATGCTGACCCAGTTTCCTTTTGAAACAGTTGATCACCTCCACATCCCCACCTCCCTTGTAGATATTGGGTTCCAAAGTCGCTTGTGAAAATCATCTTCTTCACAGCTCCCCTCTTCAAACTCTTGTCGCAAATTCTCCAATCTGTGCCTTCCCACCAGCCCCCACCCTCCACTTCTCCCAGTCCTTATACCATCACCTGATGGGAAAAGCTTTCTTTAGCTACTTTAGTCTAAAGTTTATCTCATACACCTCGATCAAGTCTCCTTTCAACCTCTTTTCACTCTGAGGAGAATGACCCCAGCTTCTCCAAACCAAGTTTGCCGCTAAAATCGTTCACCCCTGGAACCACATAGACAGATGTCATTTTGATTTGATTTGATTTGATTTATTGTAGTCACATGTACCTACGTACAGTGAAAAGTTTTGTTTTGCGAGCAGTACAGGCAGATCATACCAAACAAGGACATACAGATCATGGGTTGCTTAGACAGTGCGAAGCAAACAAGGTTACTTGCTGTTCTAGACCAGGGCAGTACAGACTTGATGGGCCGAATGGAGCCTTTACCTGCACAATTCTACAATTTCAGGCAATGCTCAGGATTGTTGCATACAAGGGTGGCACGGTGGCTCCATGGTTAGTACTGCTGCCTCACAGCACCAGGGACCCGGGTTTGATTCCACCCTCGGGCAACTGTCTGTGTGGAGTTTGCACATTCTCCCCGTGTCTGTGTGGGTTTCCTCCGGGTGCTCCGGTTTCCTCCCACAGTCCAAAGATGTTTAGGTTAGGTGGATTAGCCATGCTAAATTGCCTATAGTGTCTAGGGTGGTAAATGCAGGGATACGATAGGGAGTGAGTCTGGGTGGAATGCTCTTTGGAGCGTTGGTGTGGATTCAGTGGGCCGAAGGGCCTGCTTCCACACTGTAGGAACTCCATTCTATGATGATTCTATGTTATAGTTGCACAGGAGGTGCACAAAGCAAGATCAACATTATTTGAAGTTAGAGAGTGCATTCAGCATGTCTAATAACGGCAGGGAAGAAGCTGTTCTTGAATCTGTCGGGGTGTGTGTTTAAGCTTTTGTATCTTCTGCTTGATGGAAGAGGTTAATCAGTCAGGGAATCAAGATTATGGGGAAAAGGCGTGAAGGTGGAGTTGAGGATGATGATTAGATCAGCCATGATCTTATTGAATGGCAGAGTGGATGCGATAGGTTGAATGGCCTGTATCTGTTCTTGCGTCTTACGGTCAGTTCTCAGTTTTTACTTAAAAATTCTTACTCTCCTGGGTTCAATTCCGCAAGGAGCTTCATGAAGGGATTTTTGGAAGTCCAAATACAACCACCTCAAATGCCATACCTTCAGAAAAGAAAATGGATGTAGTTGTTGAACCAAGGTCGGGAGGGATGAATCTGGTTGGTAGTTGGAATGGAATGGAGGAAGTGGGGCTGGAAAGGGAGTCTGTGGATGGGTGGGAAGATTATTTGAAATTAGACAACTCAATGTTAAGCCCTCTGGGCTGTAGGGTGCTCCTGATGTGGCCTTCTCTACATTGTTGAGACCAAACATAGACTAGGTGACCATTTTGCCGAGCATCTTCTCCTGGCCCCATAATGACCAGCCTAACCTCCCAATCACTGCCCATTTCAACCACCCCAACCCCGTCTCCCACTCCCTGTCCGACATTTCTGAAGAAGGGTCCTGACCTGAAACGTCAGCTCTCCTGCTCCTCTGATGCTGCTTGGCCTGCTGTGTTCCTCCAGCTCCACATGGTGTTATGTCCATTATCGGCCTCCTCCAGTGTCACAGTGAATCAGAATGCAAATTTGAAGAACAACACCTTATCTCTTGCCTGGGCACCCTACAGCCCGGAGAACTTAACGTTGAGTTCTCCAATTTCAAATAACCTTCCCACCCATCTCCCGGCTCCCCTTCTAGCCCCACCTCCTCCCTTCCATTCCAGCCATCAACTGGATTCATCCCTCCCATCGACCAACCAGATCATACCTACTACTGACTGTCCACCAATCACCACCATTCTGCTACCCCCTCCCCCATCTCTTTATCTGCTCCCTACCCCTACATCCAGTCCTGAAGAAGGGTAATACCTGAAACATTGAGTTCTCCTTTCCTCTAGATGTTGCCTGGTTTGCTGTGTGTGTTTCCAGCCTCCTGTTTGTCTGTCTCGGTCCTCAAGTTTCTTTGAATACTCTGTTCACTTGTTTCCAGCATAGCTGGCTTCTCCACAGTGGTCATTCCCAGCTCCCATTTTAATCCAGCGGGAATTCTCCACTCTGCTGCAAAGCCCCCTCCTGCTGTGATCTCACTTTGAACACCCCTCCAGGAGGCTGACGACACTCACATTTAGATCTGGTTAATGGTTTCCCCTTCTCTTGTGCTCTTATCTCTCGGGCAGCAATGCTAGTGACAGATTGCTTCGGACTTTGTGGACTAGATGAAACCTAGAGGTGTTAGAAATTAACATCCCCGACTGGCAAGGTGTTCCAGTTCACTCAGGGAGGTTGGATTGCTGCAGCAAATTGAACATTATAAATTAAAGTGATGAATAGTGACAGCAGAGGCTCCAATATCCCTTCCATCTCGTGGCTAACCAGGAATTCCTCCCACACTGTCTTTCTCTCTCCCTCCATCTATGTGTCGGATGGATTTGCAGGTTGATATTCAGCCTGGTTGGTCACATGGTGAGGACACCTTCCTTGGTCATTACCACACCACCTTCTCGGGCAATTTCCCAGTGTCAAGGAAGACTACCCTCCACTCCCTTGAACTGACCTTGCATGTCAAGTCCTGATGTAGGATTTGAACCCTGAGCTCAGGGGCAAGGACAGTACCCCCTGCCCCATGAATGTCCTTTCTAATTGAGTGCAGTACTTCAAGTAAGAGGGATGAAAGGCACCAGTCCCACGGAGAGATTGGAGTTGTACTTGTTGAGAGTAGAGGAAAGGAAGAGAGGATTTGACAGAGGCGTTTGAGCTTCTGAAGGGTTATGATGGAGTAAATGAAGTTCTGAGGGCACAGGGGCCTGTAAACAGGGGACGTGGATGGAAGATGTCTGGTGCAAGAACTGGAGACAATGTGAGGCAAGCAACGGTTTTACACAACAGGTTGCAATCTGGAAAACTCTGCCTGAACACAGATTGGCTAATCTCGTACACAAAAAGAGACTGAAGTAAATGTGTGAAAATGTTACTGTGCTATGGAGAAAGTGCGGGGGAGCAAGGATGATTGATTATTTTACCAAAGAGGCACAATAGACTGAATGTGCGACATTGTTCAGTGACCCTATGCAGGATTGGATGATGTGAATATTTTCTTTGGCTCTTTGTGTTGTGTTTTTTCCCCCCTGGCAGCACAAGACGAAAGCTGCAGGCCTCTGGAACCTCTTCCTGCCAGCGGTCAGTGGCCTGACTCAGTTAGATTATGCTTTCATTGCTGAAGAAACAGGAAGATGCTTCTTTGCTCCTGAGATTTTCAGTTGCCAGGCTCCAGGTAGGTCGCCAACACAAGTACCACCCGCTGACTTAGTCTTTTAATTGTCGAATGGATTGGCACTTTCTGCTCGGGAACTGTGAGGTTTAAGTGAGTAGGGAAGTTGGCCAAAAAAAAATCTCTTGACATTTTATAACAAAATCAGAAAGTGCTTCAACCTCTCACCAGGTCTGTGGAGGGGGAAAGGGAGTTAATGTTTCGAGTCCAGTGTGACATTTCTTTGGAACCCATCAGTTTCCCTAGAGGCAGGCTCTAGGATTCCCTGGCTGAACCTGGTCTCTGTTTATCCGGACACTACCCTCATCAAAGACTCCTCGCCGATCACTGAGCATTGCTGTCTGTTCCATTCCATGATCACAAACTTTCCTGGCCACGCTCCGGCCTTCCATATTCTGTAATGACCCTCTTCCTCTTGTATTCAATGTTCTGTTCTTCTTTTCACACTTTCTTTCCCAATTCCTGTTTTCCCTTTTTCTTTCCTTCCTTCCTTCCTTCATTCCTTCCTTCCTTCTTTCTCTTGCTTTCTCTCTCTCTCTTTGTTTCTCTCTCTCTCTCTCCTTTCTCTCTCTCTCTTCTTTTCTCTCCTTTTTCTCTCTTTCTTTCTCTCTCTCTCTTTCTTTCTCTTTCTCTCTTTCTCTCCTGTCTTTTTTTCCTTTCTCTCTCCCTCTCCCTCTCTCTCTCTCTTTCTCTCTCTTTTTGCCTGTTTCTCTCTCTTGTTTTTTTTCACTTTTTCTCTTTCTTGTTGTTTGTTTTTTTTTCTCCCCAAACCCTCGCCTGTCAACTCCACCCACAGCTCCCCACTTTCAGAAAACGTGATCTCAGGGTTTTCTCTCACCAAGTGAACTCTGGCCGGTCTATATGGCTCCAACCTTCTGCCAAGGAACAATGTCAGACCTCTGCAGTGCTGATGTTGATATTTCAACTTTTTAAATCCTCCCCTCACCAAATTATACACATTAAGGGTAGGGGTAGGCCGCATGGCCCCTTGAGCTTGTGATTATTAAACATAAAGCATTCATAGGATATTGACAGCTCTCGCTGGGCCAACATTAATTGCTTATGAGATATTTTAATTCAAATTTCTGCCAATGGTGATATTTAAACCCACATCCCCAGAATATTACCCTGGGGTTCTTGGTTATTAGCTAAGTGAAATCACCACTGTGCCACTGCCTCCCACTAAACCGAATTCAATAAAAATCTGGAATGAATAATAAAACTGACCATGTAACTGTTGTCATTTGTCATTTTAAAAAAAAACCCATCTTGTTCACCTCTGTTCTTTAAGGAATGCAATCTGCCATATCTCACTTACATGTGACTCCAGACCCACAGCAACTCTTGATTGCCCCTCTGATCAGTTAGGAACGGGCAAAACACACAAATGAATCAAAACAAAAGTATTCCTTCTGTAGCAGTACGCTTAAATAAAGTTGTCACAAAGATACTTTATTCCTTTATCTTTTAAAGTGTCTGCTAAAAATTCAAATTCCCATCCCAAGGCATTTTGGGTCCCTCTAGAGGTTCCACCTTCTATGCTTTACCCTCCTACTGGATTAATTACTTTTTTTCCCCTCCCTGAATTTTTTGACAGGTTTTCCCCTTTAAAACTTGCTTCTTTGGCCATCTGCACTCACACCTTCTTCTGTAGCTTGGCGTCAAATTTTGGTTGAACACTCGTGAAAGTAATTTACTATGTTAAACGTGCTATATAAATGCAGTTGTCGATGCTGTTCTTCTGCATATGGCTGACCAGAAAGCAACATCCGCAATGACTGACCCGTCGATTTTACTTTCACGCTCTAAGTGAGAATTTCTTCTTCAAATACCACCCCCCACCAGACTTTTGTTTTTACATATTCCCGCAACATGGGTGTTGGTGAAAACAAGAGCGAGAGGAACGAGAGCTCCAGTGTGGAGCTGGAGGAACACAGCAGGCCAGGCAGCATTAGCAGTTCTTACTATCTAGGAGCGAGAGGGAGATGTTTATAATGTTAGACCAGTCACAGCTGGAGGACAGTGAGTAGGTCTGCCCATCACACTATAGGAAGGATGTGATGGCTTTGGAGAGGGTGCAGCCTGGACAGGAGCGATTCAGCTGTGCAGAGAGGCTGGATAAGCTTCTTCAGAGCAGAGAAGGTAGAGATGGCAGGGGATCTGATTGAGGGGCACTGACTGAGAGTAGACTGGGAAAAACATTTCCCCCAAGTACAGCAGTAAGTAACCAATGGGTGTAGGTTTAATGGAAAGAGCAGGAGATTTAGAGGTACTTTGAAGAACACCTTTTGCCCAGAAAATGGTGGAACTCACGGCGAGAAAGAGTGGGAGAGGCTGGAGCAGGCGTTGTTGGTTGACCATGGGGTGAGGGCTTTGTGGTCCAGACTAATTCTGTCCTCTGCTGACACCGAACCACAAGCACCTTGGGCAAGGGGCCACGGGGTATGTTGGGGGGGCAGCAGCCCCGCCTGATTTTATACCGCCCCACCAATGACCAACACCCCGCCCTAATGACCAACACCCCTGCCAATGACCAACACCCTGCCAATGACCAACACCCTGCCAATGACCAACCCCCCATGCCAATGACCAACACCCCCCAATGACCAACACCCTCCCTAATGACCAACACCTCCACCTCCCCAATGACCAACACCACCCCAATGACCTCCAACCCCCCAATGACCAATACCTCTACGCCCCCATGACCCACCCCCCCCCACTACCCCCCCCCCAATGACCAACCCCCCCCCTAATGACCAACATCTCCCCCAATGACCAACACCACCCCCAATGACCAACATCTCCCCCAATGACCAACATCTCCCCTAATGACCAACATCTCCCCTAATGACCAACACCTCCCCTAATGACCAACACTCCCCCCACTGACCTGCACCCCCCATTGATCAACACCCCACCCCCACCGATCACGTCATACACAGCTCAGTGCTGCAGGGAACAGGTTCCTGCTCTCCGTGCCCACCCAACCCACTCTTGGTAACTAATCCATGAGAGCAATGTGTAAACTGCTTGTTTCAACACCCCTTGTTACTGAAGATGTACTATGGCAGACCATACTGAATTTTCCATCTGATGACATTCCCACCTTGTTTCCTAGACACGGGGAACATGGAGGTGCTACACCTGTATGGAACTGAAGAGCAGAAGAAGAAATGGCTGGAGCCCCTGCTTCGCGGAGAAATCCATTCCTGTTTCTGTATGACAGGTATCTAGATCTGTTTGGGTTATTATATTAGGTTGGTTATGAGCCCAGCTGACGTTCTCACTAGAGCCGCATTGTGGAAGCTACACACTCCTTTCCCCACCTCCCAAAGGCATTGACAGACCTAACTGATCTGGCCTACAGCTGCTGGGCTCCAAACTCCGGAATTCCTTCCTGAAACCTTACCACGTATCCCATGACACTCCATAAAACCTCCCCATCTTTGGCTGAACTGTTGGTCATCGGCCTTCAGATTTTGTTATTTGGCTTAGAGTCATGTTTCCATTTAGGGGTCACTCCTGTGAAGCAACTTGGAACATTTTACAATGTTAACTATTTAACGCGCTATTTAAATGCAACAGGTCGATTGCTGCTGCTCACAAAGCTGATCATAGAATCCCAACAGTGTGGAAGCAGGCCATTCAGCCCATCGAGTCCACACCGACCTCCAAAGAGGAATAAACCCAGACCTAGCCCCTCCCTACCGTATCCGTGTAATCCTGCATTTCCCATGGCTAATCCCCCAAACCTGCGCATGTTTGGACTGCAGGAGGAAACCGGAGCACCCGGAGGAAACCGGGAAAATGTGCAAACTCCACACAGACAGCCGCCTGAAGCTGGTATCGAACCTGGATCCATGGCGCTGTGAGGCACCAGTGCTAAGCACTGAGCCACCGTGCCGCCCCATATGGGTGGGTTTAAAGATTTGCGGAGCTGGAGGGCTGGCTTTCCCGGCAACTGGTGCCTATTTAGAGAAATGCCCCCCACAGTCGTATGACTCGAGTGTTTCGGACGGTCCCACAGGCCTGAACCATGGAGTGTCAGGGTAAGGCAACGTGCGGGTTCCGAATTTACCCCAGCCAGTGAGGTGCATGTTTTACCAGTGTGCTACCAGTGTGGAGTGATGGATGGGGAATGCATGTCTTGTTCCATCTCAGTGACTGGCCAGGAATCTCTCCTGCTCTCATTGGCTGCCATTGGCATGTGTTTGAAGGGTTTTGGGTGCAGGTAGGTGCTCATTCTGTTGGACTGCATTCCTAGCCACACTTTCCATGGCCCTATACCATGGGGTGGGGCTCGACCCCAGAGCTTCTAGCTCAGAGGCAGGGACACTACCTACTGAACTCCCTGACTTTTCCTGTGCAAACCCGAGTGCGTCTGATTTGAGTAGCTGGTGGCAGAAGCTTGTGCTTAATGGTTCTGACCCTCCCACCCCTATCCTAGCACCCCAACCCCTATCACTATGATTAATGGATGCTGTTAGTTCAGAATTGATGGCCTTTTCATCTTTGACCGTGATGTTTTTCTCTTCTCTCGGTCCACCTCTCAGAGCCGGACTGGCTTCCAGTGATGCCACCAATGTCGAATGTAGCATTCACCAAGATGGAGAGAGCTATGTGATTGTTGGCAAGAAGTGGTGGGCCAGTGGTGAGTAGAGAGTGATCCGGAGCTCAGATTTGGAAGTTACAGACCCCTTCCCCGTCTTGGGGAGGGACCAATACTCTCAGTATTCTGCCTGACATGAAACCAGGTGGGAGAGTGTGAGCGACGAGGAGGATGTAAAGGGTCCTCAGGGCGATTTAGACAAATTGAGTGAGTGGGCAATTGTGTACCAAATGCTTATAATGCCGATAAAATGTGAAGTTTTCCACTTTTGTAGGAAGAGTGGTGAATGGTGATAGATGGGGAAATGTTAATGAACAAAGGGATCTGGGTGTCCTTGTACCCCAGTCATTGAAAGCAAGCATGCAGGTGCAGCAAGCAGACAGTAAAGCAAATGTTTTTTTGGCCCTCATTGCAAGAGGGTTTGAGTACAGGAGCAAGGACATCTTCCTGCAGCTGTACAGGGCCTTGGTGAGACTAGGCCTAGAGTATTGTGTGGAGCTTCGGTGTCCTTACCCAAGAAAAGATACACTTGCCAGAGAGGGAGAGCGATGAAGGTTCACCAGACTGATTCCTGGGATGGCAGCTTTGTCATATGAGGAGAGATTGGCTCAGCTTGGCCTGGATTCACTGTGTTCCAGAACAATGAGTGGGGATTTCATTGAAACATTTAAACACTAATAGGGCTGGACAGACAGGGTGCAGGGATGAAGATTCCCCCTGGTTGGGAGGTCAAGAACAAGAGAATCGGGATATGGGATAGGCCATTTTGTACTGAGATGAGGAGATTTTACTTCACTAAGAGGACGGTAAATTGTGGAATTCTCTACCAATGGAGGCTAGGTCACTGAATATATTGAAGAAATAAGTAGATTTCTCGAAGCTAAAGGTATGGGGAGAGCACGGGTGTTGGTGTGGAGACAGAGGAACAGTCGTGATCATATTGATTGGTGTGATGGCTCGATGGGCCGAATGGCCTAACTGTTCCTATTTTCGATGTTTCTGAGTTAAACGTTGAGTTTGAGCCTGCTGGTTATTACCCCACTAGGTGGTAGTCTTGGTTTGACTGCTCAGAATACCAGCCTTACTTTTCTTACAGATGATGTGGAGGTGCCGGTGTTGGCACTGGGGTGGACAATGTCAGAAATCACACAACACCAGGTTATAGTCCAACAGGTTTATTTGAAAACAGAAGCTTTTGGAGCGTAGCCCCATTGTCGGGTGAAGTGAGAAAGAAGCACACAGAACACAGAATTAGTAAGTAAAAGATCAAAGGGTCATGCATTGTCTGACCTAAAATGTCACCTCTTCTTTACACTGATAAACCTTTAGATCTCTCAGGGCAGTGACTTGAAAGGAATTTGGGGATTTACATATACATATTAATCAATTAAAACTTCCTAACTGATTAAAGATTAACAGCATCTGAGGTTTGTTTAATACATCCTCATCAGTTGTGTGACCTTTTGATCTTTTACTTATAAATTCTACGTTCTTTCTCACTTCACCTGGTGAAGGGGCTATGCTCCGAAAGCTTGTGGTTTCAAATAAACCTGTTGGACTGTAACCTGGTGTCGTGTGATTTCTGGCCTTTTTTTGAACAGAGAAATTAGCACTGGCACCTTGGAATAGATGTGCTGTTACTCCTGGTAGAACGGGATGATTATATGTGGAATTCTTTGTTGAAACCAGTCAGCTTCGCCGATGTGGCATTTCCCAAAAACTAAGCAGGTTAAAGGTGTGGCACATTGTATGTAAGGGAAGATAACACTTAGAAAGAGCTGGCAGAGTGTGATAGGTTCACTGGTCTCCTGCATGATTTTGATTAAAGGCACAATAAACGTTTAATTCAAAGCACTGATTTAACCACAAATATTCAGGAAGGATGCAAAAGATTGTGTTTCTTTGCAAACCATTATGTCTTATGAGCTATTGGGCCAGTTTAAGTTAAATATTAACTGTACATCAAAGACAAATAAGTCATAAGTTACGGTGGTTTAGACTTTTCAGTGCCTTATTGTCTGATGCTGGCTTTAAAAGGTGACCTTCCCGCTATGCAGTTGAAAGCAATTGCCAATGTATTGAGCTATTCACTCACTGCCTGGAGCTGAATGCAACACCTTCCGGTGTCCACAGAAAGGCAGGGAAGTGGAGTTGAAGATTATCAGATCAGCCATGATCTCATTGAATGGTGGAGCAGACTTGATGGGCTGACTGGCACCTATGTCTTATGGGCCTTTCTAAAGTTGGTTTCTTCTTGTGTTTCATTCCTGAGGATTGCATGCTGAGCAGATTCAAAGTGACGTCTCCTTTTAGCAATATTTGAGTCTTGACGTTCACTTCAAACCTTTGCTCCAACTGTTTCTGTGCTAGTGGCATAATCTGGCAGGAAGGAGTAATTCTTCTCACCCTGCAGATTCCGAAAATACAGAACTATGGCCGTCGCTCATTACATTTCAGCATTCCTGTTATGGGGATTGTTTCCATTGCTCATTTCGCTGCGTCACCTTATTTGTTGCAGTGTGGTTTATACAGATAAACAACTTAATAATGCAGTTGTCTCAAATGAATGCACTGCCTGGGAGAGTGTGGAGGTGGATTCCACAGGAGGTTTCAAAAGAGAGTTGGATATATGTTTGGAAGCGATGAATTTAGAGGGCTTTGGAGATAGAGATGGAGAGCGAAACTAGCCGGCTAACTCTTTCATGTGCCGGTACAGTTACAGCTGAACTTCTGTACTGTAAAATCCTATGACTAAGATCAGGGCTACAAAGGCTATCAGGCCACTGATGCCTTGAACTCCAAGTTGTTTAGGAAAAGCAAAGGTTTGTTCTTCGAAAATTGAAAGCCGACGTTACGATGGAGGTGAGCGAGGGGTGCAATGGCTTTGCCATTGGGTGTGCTGTCATAAATAGCTGTCGTATGTACTTAATGGCTGTGAAGGATGCAGACCAGTGACTGACACAGCCTGGATCGCAAACACCAAAAAGTGTATCGACAATTACTCTGAGTCCGAGGATGCTCCTTATTGGGGAAATCCTCTTAAAGGAATTGTCTTCTTCAGATTGAAGATGAACTGGAAGAGATTCAGGGAAGACCCTAGTGGAGAATTTCTTAACATTTCTGCTAGAGAGCAGGACGCTGCCTTCACAACTTAAATGAGATTGACACACTCTATGTCAACTGATGATTTGTCCTTTGGTATTAATGAACCATCCTTGATGGCCACATGTCATATAATTTTTTTTTTGTCTCATTAACTAATGAATGATTTCCAAATTGCTGTTTCTTAGCAAGCTTAATAAACTATCTGAAAATTTGTTACCTTGGGTAACTGTGGTCATAAACCCCTCCAAAACCTGCCAGTATTGACGGTGTAAGGATTGGATTGTGTGGCATTAACTACTAGGAGGAATGTGATGAGCTTAGCATCAAATCTTTTCAATTTTAAACTTCACTTCACCATCCCCTCCCACCCAAAGACTTACCCTAGTTAAACTGTTGAATCTTTGTTGTTTTGATCAGGAAAATAATCCAATGCTTGAATTCCTGTGACAGGTTGCCTTCGCTGTCACTTCCACTCATTCATGGGACGTGGGTGTGCCTGGTAGGGCAAGCACTTATTTCCCATTTGGAGCTGGCCTTGAGAAGGTGGTGGTGAGCCACCATCTTGACCTGCCACAGTCCTTGCAGCGTAAGTACTTTCACAATACTGTTAGGGAGTTCTGAGATTTTCACCCAGCGACAGTGATATATTTCCAATTCAGGATGATGAGTAGCTTGGAGAGGGATCTCATAGATGGTGGTGTTCCCATGTATCTACTGACCTTGTCCTTCTAAATGGAACTGGTCATGGGTCTGGAAGGTGCTATCTAAGGAGCTTTGGCGAATTTCTACAGTGCATCTTGTGGATGGTAATTGAAATCCAGCCCGTGTTATATTTCAGTTGAAAAATCCTGCTCTTCCAATCATATGGCATAAAACTGATGCATGCATAAATATCTTTAATTTTACAATTTTGCATGATAGAACCATGGTTTGATCTTTATATTGAACACAAAGGAAATTCATTCACATTAAAACTGATTTTTGCCAGAGTGAATTTCTAATTACACCAGAGACATAAACCGGATTACAAACAGGAACTCCAAATATAAAGAATAAATATCTGAGAGCCATTATGGAAACAAATTGTATTTGTAAAAATTGTATACAAAACATCTATACATTGTCTTAGTTAGTGTTTGTAAAGTTTATTTTGTTCATTTATGGGATGTGGATGTCACTGGCAAAGTCCATGTTTATGGAATTTATGTACTTGTCTTTGAGAAGTTGATGGTGAGCTCTCTTCTTGATCGCTGTAGATTTTGGAATGTAGGGACACCCATAGCGCTGTTAAGGAGGGAATTCCAGGATTTTGACCCAGCGACAGTGAAAGAACGGCAATATATTTCCAAGTCAGGATGGGGAGTGGCTTGGAGGGGAACTTGCAGGTGGTGGGTATTCCTGTGTATCTGCTGCCCTAGGCCTTCTAGACGGTAGTGGTCGCGGATTTGGAAGGTGCTGTCTGAGGAGCCTTGGTGAATTTCTGCAGCAAATCTTACAGAGGTGCACACTGCCACTCCTGAGCGTCGGTGGTGGAGGGAGTGGATGCTCTCAGTCGAGAATGAGGTGCTATTTCATCTTGGATGGTGGTGAACATCTTTAATGCTGCTGGAGGTGCACTCATCCATGTGGGTCGAGGGTATTCTATTGCATTTGTGACTTGTGCCTTGTAGATGATGGACAGGCTTTGAGGAGACAAGCAGGTGAGTTATTCACCACTAAGTTCCCAGCCTCTGACCTGCTCTTGTTGCCACAGTTTTTATGTAGCTGATGCAGTTCAGTTTCTGATCAGTGATAACCTCCAGGATGTTAACAGTTGGTAAATTCAGTGATGGTAATGCTGTTGAGAGTCAAAGGAGGTTGTCCAACTCTATCTTGTTTTTAAGTGGACAGTGTGTTCCTTGAAAAGTTATTACAAACAATTTTCTGCGTTTTATACGGTACCCTGACTCACATTCCTTTATTTAGACGCAGATTTTCCAGATGTTTGCAAAGTTCATCTTGTTCATTTATGGGATGTGGATGTCACTGGCAAAGTCCATGTTTATTGAATTTGTTTAGTTGATTCCAGAATTGAGAAGGTTGGCTTATGAGGAGAGATCGATTAGACTGGGACTATACTCATTGGAATTTAGAAGAATGAGGGGGGAATCTTACAGAAACATACAAAATTATGAAGGAAATAGATAAGATAGAAGGAAGGAGGTTGAACTAGGGGGGCATAGCCTCAAAATAAGGGGGGAGCAGATTTAGGACTGAGTTGAGGAGGAACTTCTTCACCCAAACGGTTGTGAATCTGTGGAATTCCCTGCCCAGTGAAGCAGTTGAGGCTTCCTCATTGAATGTTTTTAAGGCAAAGATAGATTTTTGAGCCGTAAAGGAATTAACAGTTATGGTGAGAGGGCGGATAAGTGGAGCTGAGTCTACGAAAAGATCAACCATGATCTTATTGAATGGTGGAGCAGGCTTAATAGGCCAGATGGCCTACTCCTGCTCCTATTTCTTATGTTCTTATGAGTCACTTGTGTATTTGCCAGCGTCATATTGTTTCTGCTCAAAAAGAAGGGGACGAAAAGTACCTATAAAACTCGTTATCTCTTTCAGACTTGAACAGAATGTGATTTCTTTATGAAATGTGGCATTAAATGAATTAATTCATGAATCAATAGATGGAGAGCAAAATAGCAGGACCGCTGAAGAGGTCAAATAAAGAGCATTGGGAACAATTGCTCTCAGGAGAGAGCAGGAAAGGGAACTGAGAATGGGAAGAAGGAAAGGTAGAAATAGGGGCTCAACTGGGAGTGAAACCATGGTCCAATTTTCAGCGGACGTACACCTTTCTTGCAGAGATGGTTCAACCTTGATTGTGGTCTGGTTGGGCCAATATGCACTATTGTGGAAATGACAGTACCTCCACGTACTCACTTAATTTGCCAGCTACTGTAAGGGTTGAAAAGGCACGGCCTACTGATAAGAACCAAAGTTACGATCAAAAATGACTGAATTCCCTATTAGATTGGCTACATGACCAGCGGCTTTAAGTAGCATCAGCACACAGCTGTGAAAGCATCCAGTAGGCGGAGCGTTGGACATGAGAGTTGGGCTCAGAGGTTGGAGGGTGAAAACAAGTGACACCTCTTGAAATGGGGGTGTGACTGAGGATGGTGGATGGACAGAAAGGTGCACGGATCATGAGGAGAAGTTCGGGAATCATAAGGATTGCCAGGTACAGATGGGAAGAGAAAGACTTCTCCTCTGCGGTTATGTCAGTCCCTTGGAACTCGTGCGGAGCAACATGAAGTATCCCAACAATATGCTTCAGGCCTGTCAGGAATGGTGAGTACCGTGGGGTCTGGGCTGCATTATTTCCCACGCCCCCAAAACGACGTTTTGATTTAAATTTGTAAGTTCCTTTGTCTGAGTTTTGTTACCATGCTCCTCCAAATTGGTTCAATTTGATCAACACTTGTATTATAAATGGTCGAGAGAGAATGATTAGGGCAAAGGGAGACCTGACAACCCTGGCCTGGCAACAATGAAAGGAGAAATTGAGGCTAAAAACAGAAGAGGAAATAAAATCTGATGTGTGGGGTGGGGTCGGTGGGGGGATAAGTGGGAAACAACACTGGGGTTTGCACTGAGGGAAATCTAAAGAAGATTTCTGGGGGCGGCACGGTGGCTCAGTGGTTAGCACTGCTGCCTCACAGCGCCAGGAACCCAAGTTCAATCCCCGCCTCGGGCGGCTGTCTGTGTGGAGTTTGCACATTCTCCCCGTGTCTGCGTGGGTTTCCTCCGGGTGCTCCGGTTTCCTCCCACAGTCCAAAGATGTGCAGGTTAGGGTGGATTGGCCATGCTAAATTGCCCATAGTGTCCAGGCTAGGTGGATTAGCCATGGGAAATGCAGGGTTACAGAGATAGGGGGGTGCTGGGATGCTCTTCAGAGGAGTCGGTGTGGACTCAATGGGCTAAATGGTCTGCTTCCACACTGTAGGGATTCTGTGATCTCTGTGAAAACAAGGGAAAAAGGAAGTTGCTGGATCAGTTGTTAAATTGAAATCCGAAACAGATGAATTTTGCCAAGCAAAGACTTTCAGGGATATGGGCCAAAGGTAGATAAATGGAGTTAGGCAGTAGATCAGCCATGATTTCGTTGAATGGCTAACTCCTCTTCCTGTGCTCCTAAGATGTTGCCAATGGCCTTCAAAAGGCTGTGGTGAAAATAAGCAAACGAAGGTTATTGGGAGGGTGGAGTTGTGGGTTTCCATTGGGTCACCTGAGATTACCGTGGAAACATAGTAGAAGCTCTGGGTTGTGTGAATTTTGGTGCAGTCACCTCGCTAGATGGTGAAGCTGCTGGTGTTTTCAGACTGAGACAGGGAGTTGAAGGAGCACTCGAGAGAAATGGACCTGTCGCGGTGCCTACGGTGGTAGCTGTACTCTTTGACAGCCCTCAGGATGTACCCCTTGAACGATGCCCCCATGAAGGCGTACACGATGGGGTTGAGGCAGCTGTGGAAGAGAGCGATGGTCTCCGTCACCTGGATGGCAATGTCCATCCTCTTGCTGCTGTGGCATTCGCTGATGATCATGTGCAACAGATCGAGCAGGCGGCATAACCTGACAACGTTGTAGGGCAGCTGGGTCAGGAAGAAGACCCCCACAACAGCAAGGAGGACCCGCAGTGCTCCGCGCTTCTTCCCGCTTGGCGCTCTGCACACGGCCTTGGCCACCACCGAGTAGCAGTACAGCATGACCAGCGACGGTATGGCGAAGCCCAGGAGGATCTCGAAGATCTGGATGGTGGCCTTGGCCGAGCGGGCCATGTGCGAGGGGAAGATGGAGATGCATAGCATCCTGCTTCCTGCCCCGTGCACCGAGGTGAAAACGAAATCGGGGACGCTCAGCAAGATGGCCGCTGCCCAGACGCAAACGCAGACCACCTTGCCCTTGCTGCCAACGGTCTGAGGGCTCGCCACCTTGGAGCTAGCCAAGTACCGGTCAACGCTGATGCAGGCGAGGAACAGCATGCCAGCACTGAAGTTCATGACGAAGAGAGCGGAGGAGATCTTACACATGGCCACCCCTAATATCCAGCCGTGGACTGCATAGACTATCCAGAAGGGGAGGGTGATGAGAAGCAGCAAGTCGGCAATGGCCAGATTCAGGATGTACAAGTCCGTTTTCGACTTGAACTTTTTGTAATAGGTGTAAACAGCCACCACCAATGAATTTCCAGCAAGCCCAATGATCAGAGTGACCGTGTAGAACACTGACAGGAAATACTTGGCGAACTGTCTAACATTATCCTTCTCGCATATGTAATAATAATCGTCATAGTTGATGCTATAATTTCTGTAGTCACTGTAGGTCCAGTTGTAAAAACCATTCTGGTAATAGTCATAAATGTCTTCGTCCTCCATGGCACCTTGAAGATAAAACAACAGCGATCACATTATCCGTTTGCAAAATGGGCAGGGAATTTCACCAACCTTCTGGTGCCTCACCCATTTGGGGCATCCCTCAGCACCTCGATGCTGTCGGTACTCTAGAGCACAGCAAGATTCCACAAATAATAATCGAGCATTTACTTTTATTTTTGCTGCCTGCTCCTGAGTGAAGGATGTTGGCCGGGACATTAGGAGGAACCCTGCCACCACCACCACCACCACCACCTCCCCCCACATCAATGGGCTGATGGTTCATCATCTCATGGACAAAAGGCAGTGCCTCTGACAATGCGGCACTCCCTCGGCACTGACCCTCCGACACTCCCTCAGTACTGCCTCTCTGACAATGCGGCACTCCCTCAGTCAAACTGAAATGGGTGTAGTTAAACCCGTGTTGGGGTTCTCATTGTACTGAATGGTCTAGGATCTCGTTTAAGGTGCCACCTGGGCATGGGATAGATCCTGTTGCCTGTCGATGGTGGTGGCAGTGGGGGGAGGATGGTCCTTGGTCAATAGTGATTGACTCTGTGGTTTGGGAGCTGTTCTCACCAAACACATCACCAGCAGCATGGACTCCAGGTCCACTCCTCCATCACCTTTCTCCACCAATGCCCCCTCCTCCTCCCCACCTCTTGGCAGCTGTTGTAGGAGATGGAACACTTTACCTTTTTAAACTCGTGTGTTCACTGCACAAGACTCAAACATTCCTTCCAGCTAAAGCAGCAATTAACTTGCACTCCTTTCAACCTAGTCTACTGTATTCAGTAGAATACTCACAATGTTCTACCATACTCACTATGACAAACGCTGTCTCTTGCTCTCAAGCTCACATTTCTGTCCTGGAATGTTCCAGTGAAGACCAATGCAAGCTGGAGGAATAGCATCTTATTTTTCACTTAGGCACTTACAGCCTTCAGGAGTCAACAACTTCAGACATAAACACAGTCTCCATTTTGATACCTTCTCCATGCTCCCCCTGCTCTTTTCTGCATTGTGTTCCTCATGGTTTTACTTTCAGTCAAAGTACTTCTCTATTCTGTCATTATCATTGAATCTGGATCTCTGTCTTGCCTTCTGTAAAAACATTGCCACTCTCTTTTGACTTTGTTCTGTGACATCTTTGATCTCCCATCTTCCAGAACCTTTTCCCCTTTCAACGCTACAAAACCCAGGACTTTTCTACCTCTCTTCAGTGCCAGGATCTTGACCCAGCGACACTGAAGGAATGGTGATACCTTTCCAAGTCAGGATGGTGAGTGAGTTGCAGGGGAACTCGCAGGGGGTGATGTTCCATATCTGCTGCCCTGGCCCCTGCAAGGTGGTAATGATTGCGGTCACGGTAATGGGTTTGGAAGGGGCTGTCAGAGCAGCTTGGGTGAGATTTACTTCTCCCATTTTCTGCCCAAATTCTCCCTCATTGTCAGAAACAAAAAACAGAAATTTGCTGGAAAAGCTCGGCAGGTCTGGCAGCATCTGCGGAGAGAAATCAGAGTTAACGTTTCGGGTCTGGTGACCCTGCCTCAATGTGTTCAGCAGTTGGGGGAGCCTTTTAGCCAGGACTGGGTTGCTACGAGTATCTCACACTCAGGAACTTGCTACATCTGTAGTATATTCTTAACCAGCAGTTTAGTTATGACAATGTGGTTATCTCGTAAACGTATTCTTTTTCTGAAACCACATTTTTCTATACTGAGTACACATAGATTGGATGGAGTCTCTCATTCCAAATGAAAGCGGGAGTATTGTTTGTGATATACATAAATGATCTGGAGGAAGGTATAGATGGTCTGATTAGCAAGTTTGCAGATGACACTAAGATTGGTGGAGTAGCAGATAGTGAAGGGGACTGTCGGAGAATGCAGCAGAATATAGATAGATTGGAGAGTTGGGCAGAGAAATGGCAGATGGAGTTCAATCCAGGCAAATGCGAGGTGATGCATTTTGGAAGATCCAATTCAACAGCGAACTATATGGTAAATGGAAAAACCCTGGGGAAAATTGATGCACAGAGAGATCATCTGGATGTTCAGGTCCATTGTACCCTGAAGGTGGCAACGCAGGTCGATAGAGTGGTCAAGAAGGCATACGGCATGCTTTCATTCATCGGACGGGGTATTGAGTACAAGAGTTGGCAGTTCATGTTACAGTTGTATAAGTCTTTGGTTTGACCACATTTGGAATACTGCAAACAGTTCTGGTCGCCACATTACCAAAAGGATGTGGATGCTTTGGAGAGGGTGCAGAGGAGGTTCACCGGGATGTTGCCTGGTATGGAGGATGCTAGCTATGAAGAGAGGTTGAGTAGATTAGGATTATTTACATTCGAAAGACGGAGGTTGAGGGGGGACCTGATTGAGGCCTACAAAATCATGAGAGGTATAGACAGGGTGGATAGCAAGAAGCTTTTTCCCAGAGTGGGGGACTCAATTACTAGGGGTCACGATTTCAAGGTGAGAAGGGAAAAGTTTAAGGGAGATATGCGTGGAAAGTTCTTTACGCAGAGAGTGGTGGGTGCCTGGAACGCGTTGCCAGCGGAGGTGGTAGAGGCGGGCACGATAGCGTCATTTAAGCTGTATCTAGACAGATACATGAATGGGCAGGGAGCAGAGGGATACAGATCCTTGGAAAATAGGCGACAGGTTTAGATAGAGGATCTGGATCAGCACAGGCTTGGAGGGCCGAAGGACCTGTTCCTGTGCTGTAATTTTCTTTGTTCTTTGTTATTCTGTTCAATCAGCAGTTAGTTGTATGCGATTCTGAGGGGACTTGACTGGTGGTGCTGAAAGGATGTTGCCCCTTGTGGGAGACACTAACACGAGGGGACACATTTAAAAAATAAGGGGACTCTCATCTTAGATGGAGGTAAGGAGAGCTATTCTCCCAGAAGGTCATGAGTCTTTGGTCCTGTTCTCCCCAGAGGAGAGTGGAGCATTGGATATTTTAAGGCACATTCATGACTAGTAAGGGAATCCAAAGTCATCAAGTCATGCAGCACGGAAACTGACCCTTCGGTCCAACCAGTCCATGCTGAACATAATCCCAAACTAACCTAGTCCCACCTGCCTGCTCCTGGCCCATATCCCTCAAACATTTCTTCGTCATGTACTTATCCAGATGTGTTTTAAATGTTGTAACTGTACCCTCATCCATCATTACCTCTGGAAGCTCATTCCACACATAAACGACTCTCTGTGTAAAAAGTTGCCCCTCATGTCTTTCTTAAATCGTTTCCCGCTCACATTAAAATATGCCCCCTAGTCTTCAAATCCCCCATCCTAGAGAAAAGACACCTGCCATCCACCTTACCTATGCCCCTTATGATTTTATAAACCTCTATGAGGCCACCCCTCAACCTCCTCCACTCCAGTGAAAAAATCCCAGCCTCTCCCCATAACTCCAACCCTCCATTCCTGGCAATGTTCTGGAAAATCTTTTATGAACCCTCTCCAGTTGTCGGATGAGGTAGAAGTGTGGAGTAATCAGATCAAGTATGTTCTTATTGTATGGTAGAACAGACTAGAGGGGCCAAGTGGCCAACATCTGCTGCCCTTAAATTGGGTGCGCTTCTCGTGTGTTCTGTGATTTGTTGTGAAGAGACACTGCTGTGACAAGTCACTTGCTCCTCCACACTCTTAATACTTCATTTTTTTATAGAGACGGTGCGTTAACATTCAGTCTGAATCCTGACTCGGGAACCAACCTCGAATACAAGAACGACGAGACTTGTCACACTCATTCTGAAGTCGGCTTCAAGGATAACGCAATTTACTTGCATGTAGTGTTGCTTGAGTTGATAAATGGCTTCTTTAAATGTAGAGAGGCTCCCACTGAATATACAAAATATTCAGTACATCAAAGCAAGCTCTGCTATTAGATTGCAGAGCAATGACACTGCCTGAGTGTCAATTGGCAATATAACTGCAGATGCTGGAAGCCAGAGTCATTAGAATGTGAAGTTGGAAAAGCACAGCAGGTCAGACAGCATCCAAGGAGCAAGAAAGTCAACGTTTCGGGCCGAAACCCTTCGTCAGGACTGGGGAGGGTGAGGGTGGTGACCAGAATTAAATAGAGGGAGGGGTGTGGGGCTGGGGGAAGGGTAGGTGGATGTGGGGTAGGGGGTTATTGTGATTGGTCAGTGGGAAGGGTGGAGCGGATAGGTGGGTAGGAAGATGGACAGGTTCAGACAGGTCAGGGAGGTGAGGAGGGGAAAGGGTGGACATGGGATAAGGCTGGGGGGTTTTTCTAACCCCTCCCTTCCCTTCCTGGACCTCTTCACCTCCCTCTCCCGAAACTGACTCACCACTGACATCCATTTCAAACCCACTGACTCCCACAACTACCTCGACTACACCTCCTCTCAACCACCGTCCTGCAAAAATGTGATCCCATACTTTCAATTCCTCCGCCTCCGCTGCATTTGCTCCTAGGATGAGATGTTCTACTCCTGGACATTCCAGATATCCTCCTACTTTAGGGACCATAATTTCCCCCTCCTCTGTAATTAAGAATGCCCTCATCTCCCCCATTTCCCATGCTTCTGCCCTCAAACCCTTTACCCCCCCAACAAGAATTAGGATAGAGTCCCCTTGGTCCTCATACCTCCCCACCAACCTCTAAATATAACGCATCATCCTCCGACATTTCCGCCACCTACAATCAGACCCCACCACCAAAAAGATATTTCCCTCCCCACCCCTGTCTGCTTTCCACAGGGACCATTCACTCCACGACTCCCTCATCAGCTCCACACTCTGGGTTCGACCCCCACCCCATGGTAGGGGATCATGGAAGGTGTGGCTCGTAGTGTGGTCAAACAGAATGAGCATTGGATATTTTAAGGCAGATTCATGACTAGTAAGGGAACCCAAAGTCATAAAGTCATACAGCTCCACACTCTGCACCAATTTCACCACTACACCCCCAGATACCTTTCCCTGCTACCGCGAGAGGTGCAGCATCTGCTCCCACACCTCCCCTC